TATAAAAGACAAATCCACATGGAACCCCCAGGAATGTGGTATAACCAGAGATCTTGCTAAATATCTTCGGACTCCATATGACGTACTTGACTTATGACTGCAACTGAGCCCAAAACTTCTATTGCTAAGCAAGACATTTGTTTAAAAAAAATTGTCCCATTTTACAGCCTTTCTTGCTACACTTTTTAAGTGAATCACCTCTGTTGTTGAGTTACTCACGGGGTTGTTAAGTGAATCTGACTTCTCTGTTGACTTTGTTGGAAAGTGATGCCATGATCTCTTTTGAGCCCCACCTTGTCCGTTCAAAAACTAAAGCCAAACAGAACGTGCAAAGGAATGTTTTTATCAGTCCCGGCTCTTGCTGGCTGAGAGCCCAAAATAAACAAAGATAAATGCTCTGGCCAAAGTCCTCACTCATAAACTACTACAAAACACAATTATATAAATCAATTCACTTATCCAAGTGCTTTTTCTCGATGGTTGCACACAAACAGAGAGCTTGACTAGAACAGAAACAGAACGGAACGTTGACTTCTGCAACCAGGGCGTGGCACCACCAGTCTTTTATCCGCAGGAGGAGATCCTAATGAGCCACAGCTGCTCATTATCATCTCCTGTGAGTCCTCAATTGTTCCTTACGTCAGTCAGCACTTCTCCTGCGTGCATCCCGAAACAACTCACAGGAGGTTCCTGTGTCAGCCTCTCTCACTGCTCCAAGGCTCAGTCATTACCTGGAGGCCAACTAGTCTCTCTGAGCCCTGCTCGGAGTCAAAACCCTGTCCAGGGCCCTCCTCCTCCAGGCCTGACTCATAGGGTCCCTCGCTGTCAGAGTCTGATAGCAGCTCCAAAGGCTCCGGCCGAGCCACAACATGACCCCAGGACATTGCAACCATCATAAATATGAGTCAGTTGCCGAGGGGCCAAATTTTGAGCATGTGACAATGCAGATGCTGGAAAAACAGTCATAAGCCACTTTTTTTCGGTTCCATTGTAACTTTGAAAGATCTTTACACCTCAACTTACAACAGTTTGTAAGTCAAGGACTACAGTCTTAGAGGCTTAAAAATAGTATTGAACNGTTCCATTGTAACTTTGAAAGATCTTTACACCTCAACTTACAACAGTTTGTAAGTCAAGGACTACAGTCTTAGAGGCTTAAAAATAGTATTGAACTGGCCAATGGAGTAGAGAGAAGAAGAAGTTTAAAAAAAATCCAAATAGTGTGTCTTTTGTGGGGCAAGCTAGACTAATACAGGTCCTAAAAACAATAAAACTAATGTCTAAAAAGAAAAGGTTCATAAGCCATCCCTTTCCCCATCTATTTTGAGTTGTTAAAAGAGGTAGGAATAGAAGAGACAGCTGACATTTCTGAAAAGCTTTAACAACCACAAATGCTTGCCTTGTCGAATGATGTGGTGGTTTCCAACGATCTTGTTCCATCTCAATGGCCCAGAAGCAGGTATGACATATTGCATTTTGTAATCATGAGAATTAACTGCAACAACACTTCTTTTGGGTTCCTGTTTCTAAAAATTGATGCCTCTTCCTCCAAATTAGGTGTATTACAACCTGCATGGATGTTTCCTTTGGCAATGGTTAATGAGATAATGATTAATCTCCTCGAGGCATACAAGGAAATATATTTTTGACATTTCTGTAATAAAGTGTGCTTTGGGTGACATCTATTAATAGCATGAGTGAAAAATATAGTGATTTAGTCATAAAATATTTGTAGCACTTCCACCGATTGGTTAAGTCCTGACAGCTTGCTATTTTACATAAGGATCTATAGCCAGAATAATAAATTTATGAAGTGCTACAAGCATTCCCTCCAGAAGTTTATTCATGGCTTCCCCCCAAACCCCCAAAAGTCAACATTTCAAATTACATCAGAAGATATACTTACACAATACAATTGGAGAAATATTTCACAACCAATATGAACAATACATTGGGGGACGGGAGGATTGCATTAGGAAATATCCCTTACTACCTTTAAGGGTTTACGGTGATGATTCCTGGCAGTTATTAGGGACACTGCAATCTGTTTCACTTCTATTCAATTTTGTGGCTGTGCGCTATGATCTTGTAGGCTTTTAAACATTTATTTGCAAATTGTTCAACAAGATATTCTAAATGCTGACCTGGAGGACTCTCAGCTAGGAAATCAGAGACATATAGTGCCTGAAAATATCCAACATCTATCTATCTATCTATCTATCTATCTATCTATCTATCTATCTATCTATCTATCTATCTATCTATCTATCTATCTATCTATACATCCATCTATCATCTATCATCTATCATCTATCATCTATCATCTATCATCTATCATCTATCATCTATCATCTATCATCTATCATCTATCA